AAGATAGAAGAGATCACAGAGTTGTTCGCCACCGCGCAGGATGAGTTCGAGATCGCAATGGAGGAGACGGAGAAGATGTCTGTGTATGCGGAGGAGGATCGCAAAGCCGCGAGAGAGGAGTTGAACAAGCTGCAGGAGACGTACAAAAGTGTACTAGAGGGCCCGGACACCACTCTTGCGGACGAGGTGAAGCAGAGGGTTAGCCATAGAATAAGGGAGCTGGACGCTGCTGTCAATGCTATGGAGGAGATGGCGTTGCATCAGGACTGAAGTGCAACGTCCGTGAGCGTCAATACCTACCTCGAAGCATGGTCGGTCGTTTCCAGCGGATACTCTGGGCAGCAAAATACTACTGGCGTGGATAGAGGTAATCACATGCCGCGTAGAGCATGCATACGACTTTTGCGGGTGCTCACTTTATACATAGGTCCCCCCTTACATAGAGGCGAGCTGGCCATCGTTGTACTTATATGGAAGCACATATTAGCCGACATGCAAATGTGCATGCTGCTGCTTAAGACACCAAGATGTCTTGCCACGCATATCCCAATACGACTCCGTTGGCAATGGCAGGACAGGATTCGTTGCTACTCTCTGCTCGCCCTAATCTCCCAGTGAGATCTTTTCCTTTCCTACAATTGAGTCAGCACGGCCAGCCTCGCGTGTCAGTCAAGGACATCCTACCGTTGCTGTTGAATCCTGGTCTGGTATCCGCTTTCTCATTCAGACCCCAGGCAGTACTGCTGTCATCATGGACGGTCGTCCGACGGAGGTCCTGCAGAAGACATCAGAGATTTCCTTCAGGTTGAGAAGCCGTACTTTCTCCTGCCGACTCACCCTCACGAACTTGCCCTCGAAGCTACCCCCAGCTGCTCGGTGATAGACTGCGGTGTTATCCCTGAGAATCACAAGCAATATGAGCTTCCTGTAAATCAGACACCTGCGGCTCCGGAGCCAGGCTCACCAGATGATCAAATCTCCTTCACCTTTCCACTCGACACTAACAGTGTTTTCAGGCCTAGTCGGCCAACCCATCAAAGACCACATCAACGACCAACTCTCCATCTCCGGTAGACTTTCGATATGCCTCATATGAGATCCGATTTACAGATTCGTCCTTCCAGAAGGCTCGTGGTGTTGCACAATTCTGTGGCGATGCATATTATAGTCCAACGGGTTAAGGTCGGCGAAATACTCTGGAGACCCGCGCTTCCGACTATGGTGCAGCGAATGCACGCCGACATAATCCTCTTTGATCAGTCGTGCCTTCAGCTCCTCTGGCAACTTTTCAAACGCCGTTCTCGAGTCCGCGAACTCAGTATTACCACCAGTATTCGGTGGTGGCAGGATCGCAGCACGGAGAAGCGAATAGCTGGCTCGCCGTGGGTTGAATGAGCTATCTATGTGGAAGAGGCTATTGCCTCGCCCGTAGTGGTGTCTCGGACTGTCGACGCTCTGTACGTTGCCTTCGCCATCGACGTTTCCAGCATCGAACAGCTGGTAATAGTCGTAGCGCGGCTTTCGCCCGCCAGTCATATACGGTCGAATATCGTCCAAATCGCCGAAGCGGCGAGAGAAGTCGACATGAGCCGCGTCGTCTAGGCCGGTGCTGCGGAAGACGAGGAAGCCGTACTTGAGACTATTTCAGCTTGTGCTGGAGGTGAAGATCAGGTTCATCGATCTTGGTCATACCTTCGCCATCAAGGCAAGAATCTCTTGGAAGTCATCGTCGGACAGATGCTGGAGGTCGACGCCTTCAACTTCCGCGCCAAAGGTAGGGTGCAACGGCTTGACATTGAGCTGAGTCGAGGGTAGGGAGTCACTGATGAGACCTGGCATCTTTCGTTCCAAATTTCAATGGTACCGGTCAAGAACTCCACAGGATGAATCGTAAGAGCAACGACTCTCACCTTCCATGTAGGATGTACCTTACGATCACTCGGGTCTAGCAGTGACAGTTGGAAGTCCTGGCCTTGTGAGACCTCCTCACGCTTCTGTCGATCTTTCGGATCGCATTTCATGTACGTCTGCCGACTCTGCCGCGTCTCTTATGAGATGTTTGCGGGGCATGATTCCTTCTGTGTTCGGCCGTTGTAATTTGAGCTGAAGTGACTAGGCTGGAGTAAGGACCGAGAAGCTTGCAGCAAATTCGGATATACCAAAGTTGAATTAGAAAGTTTGGTGTATTCACACGATGAGCTTCCTGGCAGGAAGGTAATGTTAAGGCGTCGTCTCGCCATGCTACGAGTCGAAATGGTCGTCGCCAGCAAGTTGCTTGTTGCACGAATTCGATTTACAAGTCTGCCTTCGCCTCTTCGCCAGCCCAACATCTTCTGATGGTCTCCCGTAGCGGCTCCTTCTCGATCTCTCGCGGATTATAGTAGGGACTTGAGACAGCGATTTCCGCTGCTTTGTCCACGTCTTCTTCTTTCATACCGAACTCCTGCAGTCCTCGCTTGACCTTCAACTTCGTCAGAAGCACATTAAGCCCCTTGATAGCGTCTCCGTCGCTCTCAGGCAATACTTCGGCGAGCTTTCGCATAGTTTCTGGTATCTTTGGAGCATTGTAGGCTATCGCATGTGGAAGAACGATGGTATGTGTCTCCGCGTGAGGCAGGTTGAAAGAGCCACCGAGGGTGTGACATAGTTTGTGGTGCAGGCTCATGCCAACAGATCCCAAGCACATAGCACAGAGCCAGGCGCCTGAAGAGAGAGGGACAGCTCCGTCAGTGGTATTTCACATGTAGAACGCTCATGCTCGATGTCGCTTACCATACTGCGCTTTTAACCGAGCATCCACGTCCTGAGGGTTATTGACAATGATTGGGAGCGATTCAGCGAGCGCCTTGGTTCCTTCCAAGGCAAGTAGATTTATGACCGGATTCGTGTTCTTGGCATAGAGTGCTTCCACTAATAAATCGTTAACAGATGATCGTAAGGACTCAAGCACACCTCCGCTTACCTGCATGCGCAATCGCATTGACTCCGCTCGTGGCGCTCAAAGCCGCTGGTAAGGTCATCGTAAAATCGACATCGTAGATTGTGGTTCCGGGTAAGATCTTCTTATCGCTCCTCGTCGTTTTCTTGCCGTCTGCAGTCTCGCCCAGGATAGGCGTCATCTCGCTTCCAGCGTAAGTAGTTGGAATACAGATATGCTTCAATCCAGTCCGTATGCTGATCGCCTTCCCAAGGCCAATAGTACTGCCACCGCCAAAGGAGATGACGCAATCTGCGCCGCTGTCTTTGGCATGATTGAGTGCTTCGTCCGTGATATGCGTGGGTGTATGCATAGTAGCGTTCGAGTAAAGGCCAACAGGGGTGATGGAGCCTTCTTTGAGCATCGTGTCTAGTTGTTTCACTTGGTCCGCTTGTTGTGGTGTCGATAGCAGTAATGGAGCTGATTTGTTCAATCGCTTGACTTCATCTGGTAGCTTTTTAATACTGCCACTGCCAAATACCACACGGTTTGGGTGGGCACCACTGTATTCAAATGACTCCATCAGAGCGGCCTCGGATGTAGTGGCAGAGCAGTTTCGGGGATCTGGTATTTGGTTCTACAGTATCGACAATAGCTTCGAGGCCATCGTGACAGCTCAAGATATTCGTTTCTCCAACTTTACAAACCCATAGGAGACAGAGTGGAGATGAAGTCGGTAAAGCAGTGCTTCCGCTTCGAGCTTGGATTCGGCAAATGAATCTGCCGGACGCCACACGTTTGGAGAGGGCAGTCGGATGAGAACGTAGGTAAGAAGGTGTCGCCCTGCTAAGCTATCAAGCCAAATACCTGACATTGCTTGCCTCGTCAACGGCCACAGCCATATGTTTGACCCGTCCAGCAGCAGCGTCCTACTTCCCGACCACCTCCTTCAATCCCCCAACATTCCAGTAAAACGGCCTGATGAACAGCAACCATCCTTTCTCCCTATCAACCCCAATAGTCTGCAGCAGCGGCGCCTCCCACTCCTTCCCACCATTCCTCGTCCGCAACTTCAACACACTGCTCACCACAACCTCATCCGCGCCTTCCCGCTCGAAGACCTGGGGATCCGTGACTTCGAGTTTGTCGAAGAAGCCAGCCATCTCCTCGCTCCACTTGATAAAGCCTTCGTGGCCTTCGTAGAGCGATTGGGAGTACGGCAGGTCGGGGGACTGGTGAATCTCAACTTTTGGCGAGAGTACTTTGCCCATGCCGCCTGCGAAGTCGCGCTCGCCGGATGGAGCAGCCATGTAGACTGATTCAGCATCATAGAAGCGTTTTAAGATTTCCGCTGCGGTTGGTAGGGAGGCCATTGTGGTTTTGGTAATCGTTGTTCTTTCGGTACTTTCGATGATTTCCAGGTTGTTGTTCAATTTTGTTCCCACCCTCCGGTGTGGTATGTCCAAAAGAGCTTCGTTTAGTTGGTCAGCACACAAGATCCAGGTAGTGGTCTCTTAAACGAATCCGTCGTTCTCATCCGAAGTTGCGGTCTTGTCACTCGTCATGGCAGAACAGAAGTAAGATCGATTTGTCAGCCATTACTCCATTACTGAAGTTCAATGGGGCAGTTCGTGGCGCCTGACAGCTCTCGCCGCCGTGCAGTAGAAGCATACATGGCTTGATGTTTCGGCCGTACTTTACGTCTTCTGTCATTCTTAGACCACATACAAAGTCCTCGTTAGGTATGCTAGAACAACAATTTTGCCTCGAGGAACCTCTGGAATATGAGCGAACGCACATAGTGACGTTGACATCGTTCAAGAGGCTATTGTCAGGAACACGAGTAGCTTGACATAAGTCTGACCTGGAAACATCTTCTCGAGGACGAGGATGTCAGAGCTCGTGTGTAGAAGACCAAAAATTTGTGTGAAGGTGCTCGATCGTCCGCCAAGCCATATGCCTTGGCAAAGCCGAATCCAACCAAAATCAATCAAATATAGCTCAAATCGTTCAAAACGATCTAGAGGTGCAACAACAACGCCAAAAAATGTACAGTATTGTTATCAAGATAGGCAAAAGAGTGTGATCGTGCCAGGGGTCGAACCTGGAATCTCTTGATTCGTAGTCAAGCGCCTTGCCATTGGGCCACACCTGTAAATACTGTAAGAAGTTGAACGGACTCGAAGCTATTGAGTGCAACTTACGACCGTGATTGGATGGCAAGAATTTGACAAAGATATATATTAGCTGCATGAATTGAGCCGAGCTAAAGCCGAGAGAATCATCGCCCGATCGTCGACGGTCGGACAGATGACGATTTTGCTAAGAGAATGTGTCTACATGTGCGTAGGAGACGGCTTGCACGGACCACAAACGATCCAAACATTGTCAATTGAACGTATTGTAGGTCTCCAGCGCTGGTATATCAGGTTTCATGGAACAGAAAAACCGAACAGCTGTTGTAGCTGTAGAAGAATCGTAGCATAGTTACGGTATCCAAAATTTCTCACGGCTATCCCTCACTAATCCTAACACTTTTCCTAACAGCTCTCCTAGGCCGTCCGGTCTCAGTAGTCTCCTGCTCACCAACCTTACCCTCACCAACCTCCCCCGCAGCCCCATCGACCTGCCCACCCACCGCCGTCGGAGCAGCACTTGCGCCAGACGTAGCGGTAGTAGCACCATCAATACCACCCTTTTTCGCCCCACCAGCATCTTCCTTCTTCGGCGCCTTCTTCACATACTTGATGTTAGGCTTCTTCTTCTGCCCCGCCGTCGCCAAAACCGCCGCTACCGACTCCTCGCCACTCTCCCCGAGCACCTCCTCCGGCTCCGCGGCCTCTTTACTACCTTTTATCGGTAGACGCAATGCTAGATGGCTTTCTGGCGCTCGGGTGCAACGCTTCATGGTTTCTTCCATCCACTTGCGGACTTCATCTGCTGGTTTGACCCATTTCTTCACGCACTCGATTAGGTGCTCGCGGTTGTAGGCGACCTCAACCATTAGTGTGATGGACTGCCAGTACTCGGTCTCTGGGTCCAGACCAGTGGAATCGGCCGCTTGGGAGCCGCGGCGTGTGATTATGAAGCTGGCTAGGAGGTGTTGCGGTGACAGCGACTCAAGGATGGCATTCTGAGGGAAAAGGAAGCGATCTTCCGTTGCGCCTGGGGTGGTGAAGGCCAGTATCACGGGTTGCGTGGTTGGAGCCGGCGGTGTAGGCCGAGTCGGAGCTTGCCAAGTTGGTTGCTGAGCTTGATATGGAGCTTGCTGGTATGGCTGACCAGGTCGTTGAAATGTCGTCTGGGCTTGTGGTGTATCGTTCGAACCATCATATTGAATCATGTCGCTCTGCTGCTCACGTTCCTTAGCAGCTTGCGCGGCGGCTTCATCTTCTTCATCCTTCTTCTTCTTCTCCGCGATGACTTTTGTGAGTTCATCAATGTGGTTCTGGAAGATCTTGAGCTGTGCCGCCGAGGCATTGCCAGTAGCCACCTCTTTCATCAGGCCTTTGAGCTCTGGATCAGACGAAGCGCGCGTCGCCAGCATGGTAATAACAGGATCTGACGAGGCTTTCTTGTCTGCCTGTGCTGGCTGTGGTGATGATGATGCGGTAGGCTGCTGTGCTCTTGACACAGCAGGAGGCTGCGGGCTTTGTGTTGCCGACGGAGCAGGTGACCTTCCAGTCGCGGGAGAATGTACGTGCGGCGAGGGCTGCTGTATAGGCGGCAGCGTCCGGTTCTGGTAGTACTGATTTTGTTGCCCTCCGTACGCCTGCTGCGGTCCAGGTCGATACGGCTGACCGTACGCGCTCGCAGGCGGCACATACTGCTTCACTGGTGGTGGCTTCGCTTTCTCCTCCACGTACAACTCCACCTCAAAGATATGCGGTTCGATTCGTATTCTACAGGGACCTTTGTGTTTCTGCAACTTGAGTTCGGGGTTGTTGGGCGGGGGTGGTCGAGCGTGCTTGCCAGCTTCTGGCTTCACCCAGTATCTCTCGAGGATGCCATCGTTGATCCACTTCGCGCGCGAGCGGTCTAGTGAGGTCTGTAGTACGGCTGACGAGGCGATACTCTGGTGGTCGGAGGCGGAGAGGGACGCAGATTGGGGTTCGGGGAGCGTAGGTAGTGGTCGAGTGTCGGAGATCTTGTGTGGGAGCTTGTTCGATCGTCTGTCGGAAGTGGGTGTGGCTCCCGCAGGCGATAGTATGCCAGACGAGAGGGGTGACTGTTGCAGCGAGATGGATGTTCTGATCCTCTTGAGCGCTGGCTCAGCACCTTTCGCAGGTCGCCCGGGACCTCTCTTCGTTCCAGTCGTGGGTGATGCTGCTTGCGCCATGTCGATCGCGCAATGCCAGTCTTATCGTGCGCACATCACACTCGTGCCGTGTTGTTGGTCCAGGTCGTGGAGATGTGTCTCCGCGAAAGATGGCAGGTCGCGTGTTCGAGTTTCACTTCCCTCGAAAGTCTCGACCAATCAGATGCTGTCATGTGAAAGGCAGATCTCAAGACTCTTCCAACTGTTGTTCCATCATGTACATGTACATGTACTTCAATCAACTGCCTCATCACGAAATGACAACTGTCTCGATGGCGGTCTTGTTGCCACGATACGATTGTGAAGGCTGAGCAGGTGGTACGCGCGCTGAGAGGGCATTGCTGTACAGAACTACCCTTCTGCCTCAACGACTATTGCTCCATCCGTCGCCATCTACTTGACTCATCGCAGAAATGCCCAACGTCCTAAGCAAAGTGGCTATAACAGCGGCTGCTACTGTCGCTGGCTATGCACTCATTCTTGGAGCGCTGATGACACCGCTCTTACAACGATTGTAATTCCCTCTTCTCTACCACACGTGTCTCGTCTAGCCAGTACTAACATCCTGCAGCGCCTTATACGCCAACAAATTCAATACACTCTTCTACCACAACATTAACTCAGCCGAGCAGTTCGGCTTCTGCAAGAACCAGGTTACGCCCCTCAACATCCGGACTCTAGATGGCGAAACGCTGTATGCATGGCACGTTCTTCCCGTAGACGTCTATACTCGGAACGAACAGAAGCTGCGGCTCGAAGATCGACCTGGTGCACCAGTCAACGACTTCGCGGTCACGACACCGTTCAAGCTACTGACGAAAGATCCTAAGGCCAGGGTGGTCATTAGCTGTACTTCTCCCACTCCCCTTTCCATCTATCCATGTCGTTGCCGCTAATGAAGCCCTCAACCAGAAGTCCACGGCAACGCAGGCCACCTAGCTCAAGGATGGCGCACGGATACCATGCATCGCTTGACCACGCAGCCGCACACGCACGTCTTCACGATAGACTACAGAGGCTACGGCCATAGTTCTGGCTCTCCTACAGAAGCCGGTCTCATCACAGACGGCGTAGCACTCCTCAACTATGTCCTGCACATCGCCAACATCCCACCCGAGCGTATTCTGTTAATAGGCCAGAGTCTCGGAACCGCGGTGGCGAGCGCTGTGGCTCTTGAATTCGCAGATCCGAATAACTCGCTACACCCTGGCCGGCTCGGAGGTGCTGAGGAGGCATCGTTACTGGCCAATGCTGATCTTATCACTCAGCCAACTGCATTCGCGGGCATCATACTTGTCGCCCCTTTCTCCAACCTTCCGTCGTTAATGTTGACATACCGCATGGGCGGTCTCGTACCACTACTCCTACCACTACGTCCGTTCCCATGGCTGTCGAGGCTGCTGACGGACAACATGGTGGACAAGTGGCCGACTGCTGATCGCTTGCGGGCTTACTACGATGCTTTCGCTTCGCGGACGGAACTATTGACCAGCGCTGGAGGCCGAAGAATGGGCTCGGTGCAGATCGTGCATGCGATTGATGATATGGATATCACGTACAGACAGACGGAGACGATATGCAGGAGAATGCTGGGGGAGGGCGAGAAGTGTAGCGATGGCGAGGGGCTAGTGGAACTAAGGAGAGACGGAAGGCCAGATCTGAGGTTCGAGATCGTTGGGCACGGAGGTATGAGCTTGTAGTCTCACCTCGTGATGTCGAAGCACAGCTAACAAGCACGACAGGGCACAACAGAATCGTGACATACAGCCCAGTCGCTGCTGCAGTAGTACGGGCGTTCGAAGATATCTCGTGATTTTGAAGGCAGTAAAGCCAATACAGCTAAACTACGTTCGAATGAAGCCTACCCCGAAAGCTCTATGCCGTAGTTCAGGTAAGGTAATCAAGGGAGCGCGCTTTGCAACGTCGTTTCCAAATCGATCGACCTGCCCCATTCCGCCTCCCATGTTTGCCGATAGGTCCACTCGAGTCAAACAGCCGCGCTGGTCTGGTCCCGCTATTCGTGTGTTAGCAGTCGCCCGTTCGATATGGGCTGTTCGGAATGCTTACCGGAAGTGGTGTGAACCGCAGGTATGGCTTGACCACCGTCATCCGTGGGAAGAGCTTCTCGGCGTCTGGTGACTTCACGCTTGGGTGCACGATCACATCATCACCGGGCAGCCAGTTGATCGGCGTAGTAACCTTGTGCTTGTCGCCAGTCTGCAGCGAGTCGACAATACGCAGCACCTCCGCAGTGTTGCGTCCAGTGCTAGCCGGGTATGACAGGATCGTGCGGATAACCTTCTTAGGATCGATGATGAAGACAGATCGGATGGTGAAAGCGATGCCCTTCTCGTTCACGTTCGTGGCGTCCTGGTGGTCGATCCTGTCACATCACCAATGTAATCAGCCCACGCTTCCTCAAACCCTCCCATCACTTCAGCAAGAGTTTTTGTTTCTTCCCACTTACATATCATACATCAACGCCACCTTCCTCTCCTTATCCCCAATAATCGGGAACTTCAGCTTGCTCCCCGAGATCTCATCGATATCCTTGATCCACCCGCCATGGCTCTCAATCGTATTCGCGCTCAAACCGATGAGCTTGACATTCCGCTTCGCGAATTCCGGCTCGAGCTTCGCGAATGCGCCGAGTTCGGTCGTGCAGACGGGGGTGTAGTCTTCTGGGTGCGAGAAGAGGATGCACCAGCTCTCGCCGATGAAGTCGTGGAAGTTTATCGCTGTCGGAACGTGATTAGTCTACGTCTTAGAGATGGGCTATACCCGCTTTACTTACGGCCATTTGTTGTGTCGGCATCGAAGTTCGGCGCGGTGTA